TCTTAACCGGCCACCCTCTGGACTCATAAACTGGGTCCAGTCTTTTAATCTTTTGTTTCTTTCTCCCTTTGCAGGTGTCTTCTCACAACTTCTAACTTGAATCTCTTTGCACAACAATAAAACTAGTGGGCTTTTGTTTGTTTGTTTGTTTTTGGTGAAACTCCTAGAATTATTTCAAATGGGCAAAATGTAGGGACCAACTTGGAAAAGAAAAATCTTGAWACCAAAAAACATTTGAACTAAAGAAGATTCACAAAGAAACCTCATGTGAAATATTTGGTCTGACTAGAGACCCCAGAAAATGCAGCTGTCAATAACCTTCCTCCAAGGAAATTCTGCAAAATCAGCTACCATGGATAAAGACTCCCCATTTGTATTAGCATCAAAAAGCCTAAAGGAATCTTCCTTACCTTCCTATGCCCCTGCCTCCCATTAAGTTTGGTATATAAACTTTTTAATCTCTGGCCAGTGAGTGAGTTATACATTACTGAGCATTCTGCCTGTGTGCATAAATAAACCTTGTCTTTTTCTTCTTCCTCTGCCTATTGTCAATTAATTTGTGGACCTCCAACCATTGACCCCAAGTTGGAGGTTTTTCTCCCTGCAATCCCCTCCCTGCTCTCAAAGTATTCAGTGACTACAAAAGTTATCTATTCCTGTATGTGTATGTACACACCCATGAGAGTATTTACAGATTCCTGGTAGCCCCAGTGGGTTGTGACTGACCATCTTTAGGAATTTCCTTGGAGAATCGAAGCTTATTAAAGTGGAAACACTTCCCAGAAGATCAGAAATCTATCTTCAAATCAAGCTCATTCCCCTGATCATTGCATCATCAGRCTAGGCAACTTAAAACAAACCATCTATTAAAAGTGAACCAATTACAAAACTCACCTTTCACCTCTTAGTTTTGGGAAACAACTGGAAGGACTCTTTCAATGGTAACTTGACCAGTCTCTCCCTGATGACACTGTCTTGGAATGTTGTTGAATTTCTTTTGGTGTACACTTCAGGGAGAAGACAGTTGTCTAAATTAATGACAATTTGAGCCGTTGTGARCTTTGATGTCTGGTGGACCATGATCAACTTCTAACCCAGTCCCTTGTTAGTTTTGTGACCTTAATAATCCTTTAGCACTTTTTTTTTTTTTTTTGGTACCAGGAATTGAACTCAGGGGCACTCAGCCACTGAGCCTTTTTTGTAGTTTATTTAGAAACAGAGTCTCAYTGAGTTGCTTAGTACCTCACTTTTGCTAAGGCTAGCGTTGAACTCATGACCCTCCTGCCTCAGACTCCAGAGCCACTGGGATTACAGGTGTGTGCACAGCACCCGGCCAATCCTTTAGCATTTTTAAGGCTGCCTCAGTTTCCTCATTGGCAAGGTAGGGGAAATAACACTTCACTTGAAATAATTAGAGGGAGAATAAAATGAGATAAATGTATATGCAAATGATTAATTTTCTTCCTGGCTTCTTTAAGGTGCTTTTGAAATCTGTTGGGCTACAGAATTAATACTCTGTACGCAGTAATGACACAGCTTTTACCACCTTAATAACGTATATCCTTCTCCATTTACTTAATACTCTTCACTTATTTCCCTGCTTCCCTTATTCCTGGAAAAATATGGTACATGCTTTTATATGGACAGAAAACACATTTAGTTTTTCCCATGAAAACCAAACTGAAAAGAAAAGCAAATTGTAATGTTTATTTTTGGTCAATTTCTAAATTGGAAAAAAAAAAAAAGCTTTCCTGTTTAATTTCATGCAAGGTTTCTAGATTTCCCTTTAGCTTGGGTCTCATGGGCACAAGCTGATAAGGAGTCTGGATCCACTTCTCTGTCTTTACTTGCATGCATAAATCTTATTATAACTGACTTTACCCACTATGACCTGAGCCACCCTGAGTCTGGACTGACCGCATTGGGCAGTAAACAGGCCAAGATCTTTCTGGTCAGGGCTTGGCAGAATGAATGGAGGAAGGTGCCAATATTGTTGCCAAATGGATGGCTCATATTTTCCATCTTTGTCTTTGTGGATGGTAGTCATGTGTTCCCTGTGGTGCCCAATTGTGCAACAGATGCCGGAGGCCCTGAGCCAGAACAAAGGCCTAGGATAGGTTTAGGCCTTCTTGATGGGCATGGGCCTGGGATGAGCTAGCAGACCTGTGTTAAGCCAGAAAAATGAGCTATAGTGCACTGGACCATAAAAATCAGGGTATATAAAATCAAGAACAAAGACTAAAGATGGCCCCAGGAATGGTAAGATGGGGTGGGTTAGAATGACAAACCTGGGTTGCTAGTGCTTGTAGAAGTAGAGTGGCCATCAGACTGGACTCAAAATGAGGGAAGTTGAGGAGTCAGGTAAGTTCACAGGTTGAACACAGTGGATGACAGTATTAAGCTAATTCCAGAAGTTTTTCAAGGGGCATATGGTGTTGATAGAGGCTCCTGTTTGCCAAAATATGGCTTCAAGTTTCTCTGGCAGTTCCACTGTGGAGCACCTGTCTGCCTTTTCTAAGATCCAGTTCATGGTGGGCTAAGGCAATGAAGGGGATACTGGTTCCWTTGAAACAAAGGCTGAATACTCTTCGGGTTATGACTGCTGAGTCTGGGTAAGCAGGGCTGTCTCCTGAGCTGAAATCTGAGGCAAATCTGGACCTCTGACAAAGATGTAGAGAAAGATGCCTGCCATGGGGCTCTAACGAGACTCTTCTATGAGTTTTCTCTAATTTACAGTAATATCCAGGTATATCAAAAAGTCACTAGTTATATCTAAGGTGACTTTTAGGAGTGTTTCTTTGAATGGACACTGCTATCTAAGACATACATCCACTGTACTGAATATTGACCCTGTTCACAGCACTTGTATCCACCACACCCTAGAAGGGGGGAAAAAAGACTACAACTCTATMAACAAGGAGCAGGTCTCGGGTTGATCTCTTAATCTGATTTTGGCTTATAGCAGACCCCCCTGGGACTGCCCTAAAGTGCAGTGGTGGGAGGAGAGGAGGTGAACAGCAATGAGGCACTCCCATGAAATCTGTCTCTCCCAGGGCCTCCTATGCCATTTAGAACTTGTTCTAGAACTTCTTGACCCAGTCTCCTGAGTCCTCTAAACATCCCTGGGAAGTACCCTTTTGGTGCAGGCAGCAAGTGTGGTCCTTCTCTGACAGCAGAGATTTGAGGTGAGGAAATTTCTACAACTTCTTGGGTAGTCATGTCCACACAGAGAGTAAAATGAGGATGTGGGATCACAGGAATCAGGGCATGGGTATTCTGGAAGTGTACCACGTCTTTTCTGAGAAATGTCTTCTGTCCTCACACCGAGGTGGCTTGTTTCTGACCTGAAATTGTGGTGCAGCCTCATCCYAACAAAGTTTCCTTCCAGAGGGGGAGGCAGCCTTCCTAAATGACCACATACTAGTTTCCGAAGGCTGCAAGGCCACTTGTATTTTTTCTTGACTAACTTTCATGAGACTTCAGTATATCTTAGGTGTGTATACTAAGTAAGTAAATAAAGCCTGACTGTGATAAAGTGGCAAATGAGCCTTTGTCACAGCCAGAAAAAAAAGTAGCCTGTAGTACATCTGAAAAAAAAGAAGGAAAAAAAAACTCAAACATAAGACTAGAACAAACAAATAAAAATTCTTGACTTTTTCAAACTCATATATGGACAGGAGACTTTACAATTCTTAGCAAAAATGTGTTGTGCACACCAAAGCATGATTCAGGTGCTTAAACCTTGTAATGGACAATGGAATATCTTCTGAATGTGAGGTTATGTGCCATGTAGGGTGAGGGAAAATTTTCACATACCTCTGGCCCATGTGAAAATGAGCTCATCTATCAGTATTTTCTCCACTCACAAAGCACTTCTTAGATTGAATTATCCAGTTGATTGCTTTATCCATCCACCACACTTTCCAAATATAAAAATTACACTAAACACACTGTTATCATTTAAAAAAAATTGAACTTGACTTCTTACAGTTTTGTATAAATCCATAATTTGACCTGTATTTCCTGAATTTTTWAAAAAAATTATAACATGAGTTTTTAAAAAATTCTCAGCGTTGATTTGTGAGGCTGAGCTCCCCCAGGAATAGGCTGACCTCCAGCAACTCCTCATTCACCCCCAGTAAGAGCTTGAATAATGACTGAGTGACAAAGTGTCCCATTCAGTTATTATTCAACTATATTAAATTGCTAAAGTTGGTAATTGGAGCATATCTTATTACAAAGGCAAAAGTTCAACATTTTTCCCCAGGCACAATAGGCCTGCACATTTGAAAACTTCTTGTCTGGTAAGAAATAAGATGTCAGGGCGTGGAGTATTAAATGGAGAAAGATATATTAACCAAACTCCAGCAAAATTATCAAGCATTACCTTGAAGATATTTACCAATCTCAAGCCCTTATAAGGAGGGTGAGAGAGATAAAGTAGGAAATGTTAGAAATACATGAASCTTCCAAGTTCCATTAAGCTTACACAATGGAAAAGCCATCATTTAAAGTATACTGGGGGCTGATTTTCATACAACAAATGCTGGTTTTCTTCATATCATACTGTTTATCCACTCTGAGTGGTTGATGCTCAAGCAGTAACAATTATTACATAGTTTGAAGACCTGCCTGATTATATTAAAAACCATCCACATCAATAGTTATAGGTTGTTTTCCAGAAGTATCTTTTGACATATGGCTGAGAGATCAGATTTTCTCTAAAATGGTATTACARAAATGGAGCAGTTTTATGGAGACAATAGGATCTTTGGTACCTACTTGATGTAGCCACATCAAGTTACTGCTTCAATGAACAGGAAATGAGTATTGTAAAGACTACAGAGACAATAAACTAGGGTAGTAGTCCCCAAAAGACTACATCAGAAACCTCTTTGGGACATTTGTTTAATAATTTATATCCCCAGTGTCTTTTCTTCAGATTGATTCTGAGATCTGGGGTAGGTCTAGGAATTAGTATTTGTTTTTAATTCCCCATGATGGGTTGCACCATTCCTGGAGGTACTTCAATACCAGGTCGATGCATGGARCAGACAGAGCAAGCTCCTATTCCATCTTCCTGCTCCAAAAGTCAGTTTAATATATTGTCCTAAGATAGAGGACATATCAGATATTAAACTGATAAAACAGTTACTACACTTGATCTTAGCCCAAAGGCCCAGAAGTAATGGGAATTAGTATTTTTAACAAGTGTCCTGTGACTTTTAGTGTAAGACAATTGATATCCATTCATGATACTATGGTTCTTTAATTCTTTTAAGTATTTAGCAATCACCATAGTGTTTTTCAAAATATAATAAAGATGTGGCTTAGTGGTAGAGCACTTGCCTAKCAAGCACAGACCCTGAACTCACTCTCCAGTACTAGAAGGGAAAATGAGCCTGCATTCTCCATCTCAAGATCACCTGGAGTGTTTGATTAGATTCCAGATATCTTGAGCTCCATCACAAACCTAGTACGTCAGATCTCCAGAGGTAGGATCTAGAAACCTGTGCAGTAAATAAGCAACCCAAGTGATTCTCATGTAGTTAAGTTTGGGATCATCTGCTATAYGTCAGGCACACAGCATGTCTCTTCAATTTGTCTACCAGTCAATAGGCACAAACACTTATTTGATCCCCAGTAAGGCAAGGATCAGCAGATGGCTTGTGTAAGGGCCACAAAAGTGTGAAGGCAAAGAGGCAGTCCACAAGGCTGTGGGAAAAGGAGGTAGGCTGCCCTGCTGATGGAAGGGCCAGGTTTCAGGGTGTGGGAAGAATGTGGGAAAGCTGAGCGAGGCTCTTGCTCTTTCAGGTTTTGGGGTCTATAAACATGGCAGCCACATGCCTGTTTGGAGATGGTCATGCAAAAGCTCCGTGACTTCAGGGTCAAGTTCTAGGGCACTGGTGGGACCTTTCACTTGGAATTTCCTGTCAGAGCTCTAGCTTTCCAGTATATAAATATGCTTTACTTTTCTTCTTTCTTCTCCCATTTCCTCAGTTTTGTTTGTGGAACAGTAATGGAACTTGCCCAGCCATTGTTTCATTTTGACACCGTAACGGGGTCTATTCTGAATTAACTTTCTCAGTTAGAAGCCYATGGAGTGTTCATTGTCCCTGTGGAGTTTTGCTGTTGTACAATTGTGTTTAAAATAACTTGTCCAAATCATGTCTGGAAAATAATAATTAAATCTATTTTAAGCAAATTTTGGTAGGTCATTCCAATTCTGATTTGTCTGATTGCTTATATGAATGGGAGTTCAGGCAAATGCCCATTTGATTTCGGATGGTAAAAGTAATAATAGAAGTATTCAGGAGATTTATGGTATTAACTATAGCATAGAATTTTAAGTAAAAAATCTTGGTGGGACTCATTTCCCTCAACTATAAAATGGAAAAAATGAGATCTGCCCTCATATCTGTCTCACCAAATTTCATAAAGTCCAATAACTTTCTGGTATTGAAAGTTGGCAAACTATAAAGTTTTATACAATGTTAGTTTTAATACAATTTTTTTCCTTGACATCTTGTCTGGCTTTAGCTTCAGATGTCATTCAAACATTTTTAGACAGCATGGGTCAATCTAAAATTAAACACTGAAAACATAACATTTGGTAGGAGGTGCTTCCCATTGCAATTGCTTGCCTTACAGAGACAATTACTTGAACAAAAATGTTTTATTTGCTAAGGTCTGGGAAGGAAGAAGTGTGATCCAAATAGCTAAGGTCCCAGTGACAAATGAAAGGCACTTGCAAACTATGGTGCATTGTTCTGTTCTTCTGGAAGGCAAAACACTGCCGGCACAAAGACGGAGCCATTCCAAGTGGGTGATGAAATTTACTTTATTGACATTATCAATAAGGATGTATTTATGGGAAACAAACACAAAGTATAGCTCACACTTATAGGACTTGGCAAATAAGCAAAGCAAAGTGATCCGAGGCCTAAACCTTTGAGCTTCCTTGGCATTGGTTTGGGGCCCGGTTAGCAACTGGGGATTTTTAAGTAATTATCTTCCTTCAGCTTTATCATGCCTCAACTTTATCATGCATAAAATGGACTTAAAACTCTCCATTACATGTTATGACATCACCAAAGATAACAGTTTTCATTTCAGGTAAAAGGTTTCATATAGTTTTCTCAATTACTAGGTTATTAATATTACTTCCCTCACATGCATCGAAATCCAGAAAGATATGTAATGAAGTGAGTAAATTGCAGCAAAGTCTCTGTTTAATATTTTAGCTTTCACAATATATCTACCCTGTTGTTAGATCAACAAAAGGAAAAAAAACATACTCCTCKTTAGGACTGCAGATAAAAAGGAACTTTGTAATTCCAAATTATCCTTTCTTCCCACTTCCCAGAAACTTGTGAGAAAAATGAAGATTTTGATACATTAAATGCAAGTTTATAAAATAATTATTGTTGTGCCTTAAATTCATGCATATTATTATAAGTTGATGAATCATGGGTGGTTCTTATAGAATTTTTAACTGAAAAAAAAAAAGGTTAATGTATTGATAGTTAAATTTGCCAGGTTGACAAATCCTGAGAACAATGAACTTTTCTTCTAGGATTAGGTAGAAGTTATGGCTTGTTTAAAGCCAGAAGGAATCTTCAAAGACATCAGTTTTTAGATTAGAAAGCTGGTGCAAAAATGTAAGTAATAACATTAACAATAAGCTTYGAGGCTGGAGGATGGCAAGTTAAAAGACAGCCTCAGCCACTTAATGAGGCCCTAAGCAACTTAACAAGATCCTGTCTCAAAATAAAAAATAAAATAAAAAAAGAACTGGGCATGTGGCTTGGTGGTCAAGTGCATCTGGGTTTAATAATAATAATAACCATTGACTAGGTGTTCTGTGTGCTAAATTTGTGTTTAGCAATTGCATACATTGTTTCATTTAACTGCTAAAACGAATTCAGAAATAAGTGCTAGAATTAATGCCATATTARAGATAAGGAAACTGAAGTTGAGAGAGATGAGGTCATTTCCTGAAAGTTGAACATCTTGTGGAGTCTCCTGAACTGTCTTGATGAGGATAYTGATTCACTCTTTCACATAATCACTTAACGTTTATTGAGTGCATATTAYGTGCCGAACATTGTGCTTGGCACCAGGGGACACAAAGGTAGGTCTGCCTTTGTGGTGTGTACAGAACAGTGGGGGAGACAAGGATTTGCCAAGTGCCATATGAACACATAATTCCAAACTAGGGGCAGTGTGTTTTGAGGCAAAGTAGAGGGTTTGTGAGAGCAGGGAAGCTTTTCTAGTCAGTGGTATCAGAGTGCTGTCTCAGAAGATGTATCCATAGCTAATCGGAAGGATTAGCAAGTGTTAACTAGAGGAGGTTAAGAGTGTTTCAAATTGTGAGGTTCAAGGACAAAAACCCAGGACTGACTGGAGCTGGGGTAGTGGTGAGAGATGACAGGTAGCATGGTCCAATTTCCAAAACCTTGAGACCTTTATTCTTTATTATGAGAATAAGATCTTCTGGGATTATCTTCACAAAAGGTTGCCAGTAACCTTCTAGTCATCTAACCTTCTCCAGCTTGCTTCCTTCTCAAATGTCCGGAGCACCTGAGAGCAAAGGCTTTGARTTACCAGATCCTTCAAGAACCTCAGGGTTCTTCTCCTCCTGTTTTGCCTCATGTAAAACTGCATGTGATCTTCTGAATGTTAATTCTTGTTCATTTTCCCAACTTCCCAAATATTATGCTCTGTTTTTTTWAAWTTTATTTATTAGTTCTAATCAGTTATACATGACAGTAGAAAGCTCTTTGATTCRTTGTATGCAAATGGAGCAGACTTTTTTACTTCTCTGGTTGTGCATGAAGTAGAGTCACACCATTCGTGCAATCATACATGTACCCAGGGTAATKATGTCCATCTCATTCTACCGTCTTTCCTAMCCCCTCTCCTCTCCTCACTCTCCTTTGCCTTATCCAAAGTTTCTCTACTTATCCAATCCATCCCCCATATGGATTAGCATCCACTTATCAGACAAAATGTTCTGTCCCTGTTTTTTTGAGATTGGCTTATTTCACTTAGAATGATATTCTCCAGCTCCATCCATTTACCTGCAAATGCCATAATTTTATTTTCTTTTAATGCCAAGTAATATTCCATTGTGTATAGGTACCATTTTCTTTATCCATTCATTTATTGATGGGCAACTAGGTGGGTTCCACATTTCCAATTGTGTTTCTATAAACACTGAAGTGGCTGCACTACTGTAATATTCTGTTTTTAAGCCTTTAGGGTATAGACCAAGGAGTGGGATAGCTGGGTCAACTGGTAGTKCCGTTGCAAGTATTTTAAGGAATCTCCATACTGCTTTCCAGATTGCTTGCACGAATTTGCAGTTCCACCAGCAAGGTAAGAGTGTGCCCTTTCCCCCACATCCTCSCCAACAATTATTGTTGTTTGTATTCTTGATAACTGCCATTCTGACTAAAGTGAGATGAAATCTTAGTTTTGATTTTCATTTCTCTAATTGCTAGTAATGATGTACATTTTTTCATATATTTGTTGATCAATTTTATATCTTCTTCTTAGAAGTGTATATTGAGCTCATTAGCCTATTTATTGATTGGGTTGTTTGTTTGTTTGTTTGTTTGGTGTTAAGTTTTTTGAGATCTTTATATATCCTGGAGTTTAGTGCTCTATCTGACATGCGTGTGGCAAAAATTTTCTTCTAAAATTGTAGGCTCTCTCTTCACCTCATTGATTGTTTCTTTTGCTGAAAAGAAGTTTCTTAGTTTGAGTCCATCCCATTTCTTGATTCTGGATTTTATTTCTTATGCTTTTGGAGTCTTGTTAAGGAAGTTGGGGACTAATCTGACATGATGAAGATTTGGGYCTAATTTTTCTTCTATTAGTTGCAGTGTCTCTAGTCTAATTTCTAGGTCCTTGATCCTTTTTGAGTTGAATTTGGTACATGGTGAGAGATAAGGGTTTAGTTTCATTTTGCTGGGTCTTTCTTTCTTTTTTAAAAATCTAATCTACCAGCCTATGAATTTTGATTGGTGAATTTAAGCCATTAACATTTAGGTTATTATTGAGATATGGTTTGTATTACTGGTCATTTTTGGTATTTAGCTTGACTTGGTTTCTCCTTTGGTTGGCTTTTCTCTTATTGTAGTTCTTCCCTTTGCAGATTATCATTGTTGTTTTTCATTTCCTCC